GACTAGAATTCTTTGTTCAAATACTCAATTATTTTTTATAATTTCAAAAGATTATTTAAATGTGAGTATAAAAACAGATTTGATTTTGTCTATTGTATAACAGATAAATACTTTGAATTTGTATTGTTTGCTTGTCGGCTGCATTATACTAGTAATTAATCACTTCAAAAATAGTTAATTGCTATACTAGACGATAAAAAGAAACAATGAGAATCTGCGAAGGAAATATCTCGTTTTATCGTCGTGCATTTACGTTAAATACCTATTATTTTCGTCATACAATATGAATATTCTCAAATATTTTTATGTAACTTTAATATTATTTATTTATTCTAGCTGGAAGAACATTTGGATAACTTTGTTAAATTCAAGTTAATGGGAGGTCTGAAAAAAATGAAGGCTAATGTACTTGTAACTTGCACTCATCCTACTGCAGAATCTCCATGAAAATACCTTCTCGATCTGTAAATAACGTTTTTTTACTTGTTACATATTTTTGTACTTAACATTGTTATTCTCTAACTGTTAACTTTTAATGATGTCATTTAGTTTTTACTAACATGAAAACAATTCTTTCTTATTTTTTGTCACTTCATCACTTACATTTTGATCAATAGATCCTGTTTGAAAATTAGAGCCAGTAAATAAACCCCAATCTAACATTTTATCGATTTATATAAGTAAAACTATTGACTATTTTGTCTATAAATCTACCTGTTAGAATCTACCTCTTAACCAAGAGTAAAACTTTTGGTGTTTTTAATGCAATATGCCACCATCAACATATCAACGAGGAGTAAATTGTCAGATTGTCTTTTTACTAAACCTGCGTCATTTTGAAACATTGTCTTTTCTTCTAATATTCAAAATTGGCGTCATTCCTCTGGAGGTGTTGTCTGGTGCTGTTATTGGAGTACAGAAAAAATAGTAAAAGAAATTAATTTGAAAAATAACCTTGACGTTTCGATAGCTATTTTCTGCTATCGTTATCAAAAGAACCTAAGTGAACCTAAAAAAGAGTATGTTAATAAATTGTGTAACAATAGTAGGATAATACAATATATGAAAATTCGCTCTGATAATTCGTCTGTGTAAATTGAAAAAAAAAATAAAACAAATCCGCCTCAACAATATAGAACTTATCTACAATTTTGATTGTTGTCTACAATCATCATTTATTCTGCAGGTCTTTTATTGCACTTAAAAACAAAAAAACAACAAACACCCATAGAAACAACAATAAATAGTCTTTAAAAACAACAACAAAGAAAACCATTATATAAATTGCATGTTAAATAATAAAAAGGGAGGGGAGCGCACACCCCCTGCGCTTACCCCCGCTAATTTACCCATTGATGCGGAATAGAGCTATTGTTCTGGATCAGTTGACCCGAGATCCGATTTGGCATCCGAATCTAAGAAAATCCGGATCTTCGACACGACTCGACCACCACTAGTTATATATGGTCCAGCAATTTACGAAAACAACAAATTTTCTTTTAATTAGTTAAATGGCCCTAAACCGAAGTTTAAGGCCTTGGAAAAATTCCTCAAGGCCCATTTATATTGACCCTCTCCACGGAAATCTTTAGTAAAAGGCGAAAGATTTATTCGCTTTGAAGAGAGTCCAGGGTAAAGTTTTGGTGTAAAATTTGCTCTGTTATACCCTCGACGAATATTGGGCATGATAGGTTACTCCGTTGGCGCCATCTCGGCGGGAGACGGAAACTACAATATTCAGAATGTCGAATCAATTTATTCCCAATAATGGTGAGTTTAATAGGCCCAAATCTACAATTGCGGTATATACCAGAAACAAGCTCTTCGTAGAGTAAGATATACCAGGTATAATCTGTGGTATAATACTATGTGTTGTTCTACAATGCAACGATGGCGCGAGAATAACTGTTCCGAGTACATCGAAAATTTGGCTCTGGCGATCTCCAAGTCGTAGCGGCAACGCTGCCATCGAGATGACCGGAGAATGTTTCAGGTAGTTTTCGACGGGTTATTTCGAACTTTGAAAGTGAATTTACCTCAAAGTTTATGATAGTAACTAAGTAAAGTACCTAGTAAAGAAACAGTACCTAAAATAATTCAACTGGTGTACATGTGCTCTATTTTAATAGTCCAAAAACAAATTGATATTTTAGATTTTCAAAAGAAAAAAAAGAAATGCTACAAAAAGAAGAAAGGGAAAAGGAAATGCATGATCTAAAAATCATACATATGAAAGAAAAGCATGCTTTTAAATTGAAAGCGTTAGAATCCCAGATTCTAAATAAAACAACTTAATAATTCACGTTACAGTGATCTACAGTAAATGTGCAAAATGATTATTTATAATTTTTGAGCTCATTCTATTATTGATATAAATATTTGAATCGGTGATCGATGACGGTAACTCATCTGCGCCAACATTTTCGAAATCCAATTCAATTGGTGGATCTCCATCCTTTTCTTCATTGCAAATGTTATGCAGAACGGTTGAAGCAACAATAATTATCTTTGGTAACTCGGCGTTTACACGCATTCCTGAGGACAATATGGGAAATCTTCTTTTCCACACACCGTAAGATCTTTCAACGCAGTTTCTGGTTCTTATTTCATTTGAACATATTTATTTTCAGCTAAGTTTACAAACTTCTTACTGCTACTTATTCTACGGATCCTTAGTGCTAACATCGTTAGAG